TGTACTCAATGCTCAAGTCAGGACTTGAGTATGATTCAAAGCACCAGAAATCATACTCAAGTCCTTGCCATTAGGGTCGTATTTCCAGTGCTTGAAATCATACTCAAGTCTGCTCAAATCCTGACTTGAGCGATGAGTAGAGTTCTGGAATACGACCCTCAGACTTGTCTTTTCAATTTTTAAATTTGAGAGTAAATAGAGAAAAAACTAAATAACCACGAAAGTCTTTCAGAAAACGACTTAGTTTGTGCGTTTATTTGTTAGACGACTGGTAATTGACACGTCTCAGGGCGCTCCCATTATGTCGTGACGACAGTGTGTGTGGCGTGTATATTTAAATGAAGTTGTTCACATATAGCACAACACGATTAACTATCGGTCCTGACAACAGACTGTCGTGACAATGGGACAAGCTAGAACGACAGTCATCTGACGATAAATAAAACGTCACGATAAAAATGTGACTACAGATAATCGCAGCTTCACACGATTCTGTCATGCAAACGACAAGCCGGCCGCATCAATAAATTGTCTCACTATCTAGTTGGAACAGTCCACGACAGTCACAACAGATATGCGGAATATGAAAACAGGTTAGACGCGACAGTCGTCCAACAATAAGTAAAACGTTTTGACATAATGGGAACGCGCCCTCAGTTACAAGCACATGGTACGACATTACCAGCGGTAGCATTATGTTGTTGCAATTAAGTTTATAAAAAATCAAGATTAAATTAGGCAAACAGCATAAAAACCATTTAACCCCATGAAATACATAATAGAAGATGGGATTTAAAATTAGCCAAATGACAACTAACATGGTATTATCTCAAAATGGCTTTAAGTTATATTAATATTAATCTTTTTAGTTTCAAAGCGACAGTGTTGTTCTGTCCTTTGAAATTAAATCGTATATGAATGACACGTCATTATAGCGAAATTATGCAGCTAAATTATTAATATAACGCAATTTTGAGGTAATACTATGTTAGTTGTCGAGTACGATATATCTGCCCTCTTTATCATACATAGCGTAACCAAAATTTTTTTTTTATAATATCAACTGATGGGACAAACAAGTCGTGCGCCTGATGGTACACGCCTGTCCATAATAGTTGCAGTGCCACTCAGAGCTTTAAATCGCAAAGATCTTAGGGGCACTGCCGCTGCGCCCGTCACCCTGAGACGTAAGTTGAAAAGTCCCATGTGCCCGTAATTTCACCAGCACCATTACCCTTCGAAACCGAACGCAGTTGCTGCTGCAAATGCTCTTATGCGACAGAAATAGGTAAGGTAGTAGTACTTCCCTAGACGAACTCTTAAAATGCAACATATCAGTATCCTCACACACAACAAATCCTCACCGACAACATCAACGCCTTGCGCCTGCAGCTTCTCCCAATCCGGCTTGGACATGTCCGCGACTTTGCGGTTCACCACTTCCTTGTTCTGCTTCACAGTAAGAACCACAGCGCTGCCGCTCGAAGCTGTTTTTGTACCAGACGGGATAGTCTATAAAAAAAATAATAAACACGTAAAACGAGAATGAGTAAAACGGGAAGGATGTTATTTTAGAATGTTAGAATGTCCGCAGAGCGGATAGCGAGCGATGGTAAGTATAATTGAGAATATTGTCGGGTAAAATAGAAACCACTTTATTATTATTATACCTATTTTAGACTCTCGCTTCTCCCAAGGCCTAAAAGATTAATTTTGAATTTTTAAACGGGAGGTGCGGTATTTCACAGTCGGCCGAGGTCAGGGACTCAGTATCGAGCAGGACCGCTTTCTGCATTTGTGCTGGAAGCGACGCCACAGAAATCCAACCGCTCAGGCTGTTAGAAAGGTCGACTGGAATGAACCCATTTGCGAACAAAACAATTGGGATTATTTCAGTGGAGGCCACATCCCACATGTCGGTGACCTCGTGCGCCAGATCGAGGTACTTCCGGCGTTTCTCGGTTTCGGATTCCACGAGACCCTGGTCATGCGGGATGGTAACGTCCACAAGAAATACCCTCAACTGCGATCGATCCAATATCACAATATCAGGTTTATTCGCAAGAATAGTCCTATACGTGATACTGGATCGATCCCAATAGATTTTGGTGTGGTTATCTTCGAGTACTGGCTCCGGTAAATACTTGTAATATGGTAACCTCTGTTGCACGAGTCCGTACTTCAAGGCGAGCTCTTGGTGTAACATTTAATTATTATTATTATTGTTCATCACATGTAAATTAGTCGCACGTAGTCATATCATGATCAATTTTTTTAAATTAATTTGTTAAATGTTATTAATAATTTCAACAGATCGACCCCATTATTTTATCCTAACGCAGATATGGGTCAACAAGCTAGTAAACTAAAGTGAGACTGTGCGGGTCGGGTGAGGCGATATCTAGGATTTTATAATGCTCTATGTGAATAACGAGCTATGCCGAATAAACTGAGAAATGCTAAAGTCACGTGTTATGCTCATTTCAGATAATTCAAAACTTTAAAGCGCTCCCTTGCAAATTTAGCAATTTCGAAATGCGATACTTTACGTAGGAGGGGTCGAGATATAATTATTAATATACGGTGTTTACCGTGATGGTGGTGTAGTTAAATAGGATTATGTTGAAAAACGATGTGTCAACAAGGCCAGGCTGAAAATCAGTACGGCGTGGCATACAGCCACATGGATTCAACTGAGCCTGTACCTAGGCAATGTTGTTATTTCAACAGTATTGTTCGTATTATCGTGTGTGGTAAATAAATGTTTAAAATGGTATTGAAATATATATACACGATTGTTCACAATCCCACAATGTGACTGACAATTGTACGCTGTTGTGTGATGAATAGTATTTTCTCAAAAAAAAAGGGGGAGGTTCGATAATTAATATATTTCCTAATAATTCGATAGTCAATCTTTATGTGGATGTTACGCGATGACTCCGGCATTTGTGAACTGATTTTGATGATTAATTTTTTGTTGGAAAGAGGATACCTCAGTAATGGTCTCATTTAAATTTGAAGAAAATATTCCACCTCTAAGGGTGGCAAACTAGGGGATCAATCCGGTTTCGCGCACTTTCCGATAACCGATTTCAATACAACTGGCAAATAGATGTAACTCCACGAAATTTTGAGGTCGGTGTCTTTTTTCATAGAAAAAATTAATAACTATTATGAAAAATATTGACAGATATAACTTCAACACGTCTTCACAAGTTACTAATTAAATTAAGGGGTTAATATCTGCTTATTTGTTTAGATTTGTGTGGGTTTGTAGTTTATGCTACTTGACATACCTACACCAGAGAATAAAAAAGTTATGAGAATGGACAGTCTCCACCCCTCCCGTTTTTTTTGGTGGGGGCAGCGGGAGGTTACTACCGGATTTCTTCCGGCTAAAACCCCACGGTGGCCTTCTCGGGTGCTCTAGTGGGAAGGATCCGGGATCGACTTTGCGCACCGGAACCCCCCCAGCACCTAGGAGGAGTTACGTCCTCCCCCTCCTCTCCTCACAACGAAGCGGGCCACACCGCCCATCGTTCTCCTCGCGGCTGCCTAACTTACTGGCCAACGAAGCCCCCGCTCCGATCGCTCGCAGCCGCGAAGGTACGCCGCCGCATCGACCTCCTTCTGAAGCATCACCGCTTCACAGAAGGAGACCACTTCATCATGGGACTCTTGATCCGTCAACATAGCCGCTACTATGCCTGGCGGAGAGAGATCTCGCCCGATCCGGGCAACCAGGATGTTCCGCTCGGAGGGGCACTCCTCCAGCGTGTGCTGAGCGGAATCCCCTTCCATAGTGGTGGCACTACGTCGTCGACTCGCGTCCGATCCGATTAAGATACTCACCGTAGCATCCGTGCCCGATGAGCATCTGTGTCAGTCGGAACGATGTGACGCACTTCCGCTGGCTCAACCAGACTTCGAAGTTGGGCAGGATCGCGCTGGCGCGAGATCCACGGCTGTTCAAGCCTCTCACGCCACTTCTCGAACGCCCGTAAGTCGGTGAGACCAGACGGGTGCCCCATATAGGGCCACCGATCGCACCACCCCACCGTATAAACGGCGAACTCTCTCCGAAGGGCCCCCCAGGTTGGGCAGCAACGGGTGCAATGCACCCGCCACCCTATCGATTCGGGGAACCAGGCGCCGGAAGTGCTCCTCGAAATCCCAGCGACAATCCAGGACGAGGCCCAAGTATTTTAAGTACTGCCCCACCTGGACGGTGACGTCACCAATGCGAATCGAGAAGCTGGGCGATTCCCTCCCTCGCGGGAGCTTGTGGAACCACAGGGAGATTATTAGTGTAGATTTGTAGTTTATGCTACTTGACATACCTACACCAGAGAACAAAAAAGTTACGAGAATGGACAGTCTCCGCCCCTAGCTTTAGATATCGCACCAAGCCCCGCACATTGACGGTCACATTGACTGAACGGCAATAAGGCTATCGGCTAGCCGTTTTCGCGTTAAGACGGCTTTGATATTTGAATATAATTTTCATTTATTCACTACGAAACTTGTACGTTAATATATAACATTGTACGTTACCATTTATAATGGTTGTGAATTGTGCTGTGTATGGCTGTTTATCATCATCTAAACAGGGTAAAGAGAAGAGATTCTTTCGTTTTCCAAAAGATGAAACGAAGATGAAAAAAATTTAGGTCTGACACTCATTCAGTTATTGTTTTTTTTTTTTTTTCAGTTATTTAGTATAGAGCAATTATAATACAGATTTATTATATCAACATAATGAGGCGCCATAACTTCACGAGCTAGTAGACAAGGGTACTAGAATTTTTATTTTGCAATTTGTATTGCAGATAAATGCTACGTAGTGAATATACCTAATTATTAACTAGGTAATAATAAAGACACGCAATTTCAAATACCTTGGTTACCTTATTTAAAAGTATCTGTCCAAAACATAACACTTTAAGTGTTTTTAACGTTTTTAAAAATAAAACTTCAATATTATTCTAACCAGTTAATTCATGAAAAATATCATTATTATATCGATGCAAACATTTAATGAACTCGTGTAATTATTAGGATTCTATTAATAGAATTAAAGATAACAGAATCGGGTTAGAATTTTCGCTATGTTGCCGCTTTCACCACGTAACTTAATTGTAGGAAAAAGTGATGGGTCACGCACACATTTGCACGTGTGCAGATAGCGCCTTGCCATATGTAGTAGTAGTAGGTAAATAACTTTCGATCATTGTATGGAGTGTCCGGGGTGATCCGACACGCTGTCTCGTATGTCCGTACGTGGGTACACCAAGTCAGTATCACGTGAGCCGTCGACGAGAGCCATCGAGTATATAACCAGAAATACAGACGAAATGTCATTTAATTTGTTTGAAAACTATTCTGCCATATCATTACGGTGACAACTGCGCTCCGATTGGTCAGCCTTAATTCGAAACAATTGACGAGTTTCGTCAATTGTTTTACTTCAAATCGACCAGGTAACTTGAGCTTTGCTATAATGAACGAAAATTGCAAAATTACATATTTTATATTTAATTACCGATGAAATGTGATTCCGTTTGTTTGTAATTAGATGTTTTGCTGTTTTTCCCACACCACCGAAAGGAACAGCACGTCATTGTTAGAGATATTATCTTTATTACAACAATACAGAATATTTTTGGAATATACGGAGACGTACACACAGGTCAGTTCTTGGCGCTGTCAATATTTCAGTGCAAACGAGAGTTGATATTTATAAGTGGTGTATCACTGATCAGTTACAAGGAATGTATGGCCTTATTTCGTCTCTATTTCTGGTTATATACTCGACGACGAGAGCGGACGACATGTTACATCATGCATGACATTGCAGAGTGTTCTCAAGGACAAAAACAACATAACAGGGTTACACTTACCAGAAGCAATTCAACTTCGTCATCTCGCAGCTTGTCAAGGTATTCAATAGCGCGAGGCGTCAGCGTGTCTTGTACATCGGCGAGGATCACTTGCGACGTCATTACGGGGTATTTCTCTGTGCTCAACGGCGGTGGGCACGGGTACATGTTCTCTAGCTGTGTCACTTCCACATTACCTGAGGAATTTGCATAAAACTTATCAGGCTACATACTTTTTATCATAATAGAACTTCCAGCACGCTTAAGGCCTCAAAATTCGGAACGGTGTTGCGTTAAGCGGGGAGTACAAGATTAGCTCATGTGGGGTAAAGCGGCAGATATACAAGCCATATTTCTTTTGCAAAAACGAGCGATTCGTTCTGTGTACCGTTTAGGTTATCGGGTTTCTCTCAGAGAAAAGTTTAAGGGGAGTGGTATCATAACTGTGAAATCACCGTACATTTACTCAAATATTTTGCCCGTAAAAATATACATAATTTCATTAAGAAAGAAGATATCATAATATTAACCTTAGAACTAAGTCCAAACTTATGTTACCACGATTTCGTTTAACTAAGGCAAACGATTTTTTTTATGAGGAACTGTATACGTTTTTATAATAAGATTCCGGAGCACATATTTAAGATGTTATTGCTTAAATTTAAAACTTACATTAAAAGTATTTTAATTGAAAAGTCATATTACAAAATTGATTGATAAAGATGCATGGAA